TGAGAACCCTTTTGGCACAAAAGGACCCCTGGAAGATCTCAAATATCCCCCCTTTACATTTTTTTGTGCCCATTCAGTTCTCTTTGCCGACCCCCCTGTGTCAGTAGCTTCAGTGTCATTTTAAAAACGTTGTTGTTGTTGTTTACCTTGGGTGTGTGTTAAACAAGATCCTAGACAATCAGGGATGACCAGCATGTTTTTTGTCATATTGCCAATCTATTGTGCCTCTGTAATGATGTCACTAGGGGCTAATGGAACCCTTGTAAAATTGCCCCCTTTTTGAACTGGGTGACGGGGGTGGGGAGAGAAATGGAATACGTCAGCCCATTGCCCTTCCAACCCAAAATCATCTTGTTCAAGTCCAATGAAAGATGCAAATCATGCAAATCATGTGCTGTAGAGAGGAACCAATGGTTGTAAACCTCAACAAACATGGGAGTGAGAATGATGTTTATCTGTGCTACATTGTATTCAAGGGGGTGTGAATATGAATGCATCAGCCATAGGAACATAAGAAGAGCCCTGCTGGATCAGACCAGCATCCTGCCTTTACAGTGGTCAACCAGATGCCTGTGGGAAACACACAAGTAGGCTCTGAGCCCCAGAACACTCTCCCCTCCTTCAGTTTCCTGCAACTGGTTTACAGAAGCATTATTACCTCTGACTATGTAGGCAGGGCATAGCCATCATGGCTAGTAGCCATAGAATCATAGCCGTCATAGGACAATAGAATCGTAGATTTTGAAGGTGCCCCATGAGTCATCTAGTCCAACCCCCTGCAGTGCAGGAACCTCGACTAAAGCATCCATAACAGATGGCCATCCAACCTCTGCTTAAAAACCTCCAAGGAAGGAGAGTCCACAACTTCCTAAGGAAGTCTGTTCCACTGTCACTGTCTCCATGAGTATCCCCAGAATGTGGGCAGGACACACTTTGCTGCCTCAGACTGAGGACAAGATGGCGGCCTCACCTTAATGCAACCAGAGTAGTTGTTGACTCATAATTCAACGCTGGCAAGGAGACAGCATCATCTACTGCACCTGAGGGCGCCATTCCAGTTTTGGGCAGCAGGGCAGGCTATAAGGTGTACACGGTCCTGTTCCCAACACTCCACTGCTCCTGCCTGCCTCCCAGCATCTCCCTCCTGAGGCCTCCTCCTCACTCTGTCTAATGGTAGAGCCAGCCCTAAATGGGGGAGGGCAGGCACAGATCAAAGTGCAGAGATCTCTTTTGCTGGGGTGGTGTTTTCATTGCCCACCCTTGCAGCCTACCCAGGAGCTTATGCTGAGATTTCCTGGCAATGGGTCAAGGCATAACCCTCCCACCTTAAATTTCTGCAGCATGTCCCTCCCTCCACAAACAGCCCAAAGGTAGGTGTTCCACCGCTCTATCACAGAAAGCTTTGGTAAGCACTGATATTCTCATGTTTATTTAAGATATTTGGCAAGTTTCAGCAGACATATTCAACAATGCACTGAATTCCTACTCGATACCCCTCCTTTCCACTCTAGCAACAGCTCACCAATTAAATATCCATCAACAGTGAGGAAAACAAACTTGCAGAGCTGTTAATGTGCCACATTAAAAAGTTAATAATACCATCCAGCACCTGCGGCAAACCGCACGAATTAAGAGCAACGGCAATGTAATCCAGCAAATAGAAGAGTCGTGTAATTAACACTCATAAAATGACCGAGCAACGGCTCTTTGGTGTGCCTGTGTATACAAACATGCAGGTACACAGGAACTTCAAAAAAACCAGACCAAGAAGCAGCTGTGTGGGGTTTAATAACATCTCAGCTGCACTGAGGGGGTGGACAATTCTTCTCATCTTCATATTGTGCTCTCTCCTGGAAATGAATTTCAGAATACCCTGAGAAGCAAATAAGGCAGGTACATATGTTAGATCTATTGTCTCTCTGATTAGGAAGGTGCGCGCCACATTTAGAGCAGAGTATTCGTGGAGGTGATGGTTCAAGAGGCCACCAACTAAGATTCTGACAACACCCCCAACCTGGTGCCCCAACCTGGTGCCTTCCAGATGTTTCCCCTTTGAAACCCCTTATTATTTACCTACTAGTCAATGCGAGGCTAATCATCATCTCCGGTTGGAAAGATGCTTCATTTATCCTTAGGGAAAGACGAAAAACTTATGCACCACCTCAAAGTCCTCAGGGATGTTGCCAAGCCAGAAGACTTTGCTGCATATAGGGAGGGGCCGTAGATCAGTGGCAGAGCATCTGCCTTATATGCAGAAGGTCCCCAATTTTTTTTTCACATGTGGTGGACTTGTAGTAAGGTAAAAGCTTACTGGGAAATGATATATAATGAGATAAAGAAAATGGTTAAAAATACATTTGTGAAAAAACCAGAGGCATTTCTGTTAGGTATAGCAGGGAATGAGATCCCAACGAGAGATATAAAACTGTTTATGTATGCGACAACAGCAGCAAGAACTCTTTTAGTCCAAAAATGGAAGCAACAGGAAATTCCATCGCTAGAAGAGTGGCAGTCAAAGATGATGGATTATGCAGAATTGGCAAGGCTGACTGGGAAAATCCAAAACCAGCATGATCAAGCTTTCCAAAAAGACTGGAGTAAATTTGTACAATATCTGAAGGAAAATTGTAAACAATTAACAACACTAGCATGGTTGTTGTAAGGAAACTTGCAATGTTAAGGATTTGTACCTTTTTATATTTATTTAAAAATTTGTGATTAATGGGAAATGGGAAAATGTATAACGTAAATGGGAAAATGTATAAATGCTATGAAGTAATAATGAATTATGGAAACCATGAGAAGGTAGGGAGGGAAGTCGAAGCTCGATTGAGCAAATATGTAATGAGTATAATAAGGATTTGTTTAAATGTGATAAAATGGAAACTTAATAATATATATATATATATATATATATATATAAAAAGGTAAAAGTAAAGGGACCCCTGACCATTAGGTCCAGTTGTGGCCAACTCTGGGGTTGCGGCGCTCATCTCGCTTTATTAGCCGAGGAGCCGGCGTACAGCTTCTGGCTCATGTGGCCAGCATGACTAAGCCGCTTCTGGCGAACCAGAGCAGTGCACGGAAACGCCGTTTACCTTCCCGCCAGAGTGGTATCTATTTATCTACTTGCACTTTGACATGCTTTCGAACTGCTAGGTTGGCAGGAGCAGAGACTGAGCAACGGGAGCTCACCCCGTCGAGGGGATTCGAACCGCCGACCTTCTGATTGGCAAGTCCTAGGCTCTGTGGTTTAACCCACAGTGCCACCCGCGTCCCATATATATATATATATATATGCAGAAGGTCCCAAGTTCCGTCCTCAATGGCATCTCCCGGTAGGGCTAGGAGAGAACCTTGCCTGAAACCCTGGAGAGCCACTGCAGTCAGTGGAGACAATACTGAGCTTGGAGGACTGATGGTTTTGACTCCTTAGAGGAAGCTTCTTTTGTTCCTTCCTGTACAACATCTCAGACCTTTAATTTTGCCTAAAAGTGAGTTTATTGGAGAGGCATGTAATTTCTTTTTGATGTCCTTGTCCACTTGGCTTCTCTCCTTGGCCTGAACAGACTTTCATCCTCCTGTTGTTTTCTGTATAATTTTCCTTTGTCCTTGTCATCTTGCCCTTGCCTCTGACCTGCTTTTCTTTTGTTCACAGCCTTGATCTTTTCTTTGATCTTCCTTTTCAAATGGCTCATTCAGCGACTTGATGTATGTCAACTGCTGTTCATGTTTTTGTACCAGTTTTTCACTTAATCTTTTTTTTAAAAAAACAACAAATAAAAAAGAAGTCCTGACTAGAGGTCGACTTCAGCATGCAAGTCACAGCAATGTGTGGCTCACAGAGGTGCAGTTGTCAATTGCCTACACCCCTCAGGTGTCTATTTTGCCTCTTCCCTCAACCAGAGTTTTGCAGAGTTTTGCATCAGGTCTGGTTAGCAGAGCATGGAGTTGCAGTAAAGACAACATAGTTTACTCATTTATTTTCAGCCAGGGAGGCTTACAGCCTCTGCCCTCAGGCTTACAGCCTTAAAAAAGAAGAAGAAAAAGGCACAAAGGGAAAAAGGGACAGGGAGGGAAGAGGAGAGCAAGCAAACTCAGACATCCATCCCTATTGCTATCTAGTTCTTTTAATAGGCTTTGGTGGGCCTGCAAGAAATAACCTGATAACCTGTGATGTAGCTAGTAGTTGTTGCCCAAGCATGTTGGGATGGGGGCACAGAGGGAAGCCTTTAGAGGCCCAGGTGGCATCTGCTGGCTTCTTGTCAGGCCAGTGTGACAGTTAAGGTCCACAGGGGACCAGCGAACGCCATCACCTCCAGAACAGAGGGTCCTCTACAGTTCGCAACAGCAGGAGTGAGTGGTCCAGTCAGCATGGAGAGTGGTGAAGGTTGATGTAAGTTGTAGTTCAACCACATCTGGATGGCCATGAGACCATCACAATCCTGCCTCAAAACCTGCTGTCATTCAGGAAAAGAGGGCAGGTCCCAGGGACACCTCCAGATTAATGTCAATCCATCTAATATTTATTTGGCACCTTGTAGACCTAACAAATGTATTGCCGCATTAGCTTTTATGGCTGATAGCTCACATTGTCAAATTCATGAAGTGTTCTTCTTGGATATAAAAATATACCCAGTGAATGTAGGGCAAAAGGTTAAGGAAATTCAAGTCGCCCCATTTCAAAAGGTGGAAAGGTTTTGCAGAGAAATGTCTCAGACATTCTTTCCAGCTCCTTTTGTCGCTTTTGTGCTCCTGATCCCACTATTGTTTCTCTTTGCCTGCGTGTGGGTGTGCAGGCATGTGTGCACATATATATCTGCAAATCAAGGCCAATGTTTCACGCACCTGAAGAAGCTGCCTCTAGTGCATATATGTTTCTGCCACAATAGGAACAAAGGAAGCTGCCTTATACAGAGTTAGACCAATCCTCCATCAAGCTCAGTATTGTCCATTCTGACTGGCAGTGGCTCTCCAGGGTTTCAGGCAGGGTTCTCTCCCAGCCCCAAGAGGGATTGAACCCGGGACCTTCTGCATGCAAAGCAAATGCTCTACCAGTGAGCTATGGCCCTTCCCACAAATGTGTCCAGTCTGTAAGCCACAAAATCCTTTGTGGGTTTTGCTGCAACAGGCCCATGCCTCTAGGATTTGCCACATGCCAAAATTGCTGCCTCCAAGAAACTGAAAGTATTCCGAGGATTTTTTTCTCCAGCCTTCCTTTGGGCAAGAAGCCACTAAGCTCACCAGCTGTCATCTCGGTCTCCCTGTCCCTCCTTCTGTCCCTGTTCTGCCCCCTCTTTTCCCTACCTTGTATTGATTTGATGTATTAAGCCTTTCAATTATTTTGCTGTTTGAAGCCCAAGTCAATAAACTCTAAAGCTATCCAGCGGGATGACCTTTTCCAGGGGCCTTTGCCTTCAGTGGAAGAAAACTGCATTTCTATTGACCAGTGTGCAGCCTTCAAATATCATTCTGCGACCTGTCTCCCTGGCTTGTGAAATATTTGCCCTAAAGGGGAGGGAAGCAAAGGGCTGCTACCCGCCAGCCCTTTCCTCCCCACTTGAGCCACAGAAATAAAATTGCCACCTTTTATTCCAAACAGAGCACCTCTTCTTGAGGCCAGACAGTCTCTTGGCTCTGTGAGAATGGGAGAACAATATCAGTCTACCTTACTGGGGTGTTGTAAGACAGGATGGGGAACAAGAAGTCATGGGGGCCAAATACGCATCTAATCAGCTTTGTGGGGGCTCTCACTAGGCCACACCCTTCCTTGGGCCACACCTCTCACTGGCTCCTTCTTTGTTGCGCAACTCCTCAAGCACTTTTGTTTGGCTGAGACGAGCCATTGACCTGTCTCTGTGATGAGGCCTTTTGTTGCTGGGATGGATGGAGGTCTGAATATGTGTGGAAAACTGACTTCTGTGTGACTGAAATGTGACTCCCTAGTGATTCTTCCACCACATCCAAAGTCTTGCCGAGATTATGCAGGCACTTGTTTCACTGTGGGGTGGAGTGGGGGGCATGGATAGGTGAATATATCAGCTCCTGGGCTGGTATACTCCACTGCCCCATTCCAAGTGCGTGCCCAGAGAAGGAGGAGTTTGGGGATATGATGGTTCTAAAGCCTTCCCTGACCCACCCTGATATCACCTGGGATGATGTCACCATATTTCAAGGCAAATCTATCAAATTTGCATTTTCCGAAACAATGCAAACTGAAATATAGACATTCTTCAAATTTCACACATACCCAAATTTTGTGGTGCACTTCTCCAACCAACCAATGTTTCCAAAAGTGCATATATTACAGAAAAGTGTGCCTAAAAGTTAATACACACCAGGCACATTTAAAAATTGAGTATCACAAACAGGGGCAGAAATATGCAGAACTGAATTTAAGTTTGGAAAAATGAGAAAACAGAGAGAAGTGAAATGGACCAATCCTTCCATCCCCATGTGATGTTCTGATGTACACAATATGCAAACAGTATTTTGCAAATATTAGGGTTATTACAACAAACTAGTGTGAGACAGTATGTATTGTGTTAGGTGTGTAGGTAATTCCATTATGTGAATTGGGGTAATTGGATGGGCACAGGAGAGAGTGTGCTTGGAAGCTTGGAAATGAATGGTGATTGGATGAGAGTTTTGGAAGGGGGTTTGAACACTGATGGGGGTGGAAGTTGGATGTGTGAGAGGGTGTTTGGAAGGTTGTGGCAGGGTTAGTGAGACAGAATAGGGTCGGTGTTGTTCTTGGTTATGGTTTAGGGATAAATGGTGAGGGAGGAATTAGCTTAGGTCAGTGGTTTTCAACCAGTGTGCCGTGGCACCCTGGGGTACCTTGAATTATGGTCAGGGGTGCTGTGGGCAACACTGGACTCTGTCCCTCTTTCCTTCCCTCCTTCCTCTTATGCCCTCTCATGTCTCTGCCTCCCAAAGGCTTGTGCAGCTTCTTTTTTTGCAGCGGCCCTGGCTACAAGCTCTTCAGGTGAATGGTGCCTCTGGGGCTGGTCAGGGCGTGCTGGTTGCCAGGAGCTGAGGTGCCCTTGGTGTAAGCAAGCAAGTGGGTGAAGGAGCCCAGCCAGCCAGTTCACCAGCCCTAGCTGTTGGGAATGGACAGACTAGTGGGAGCCTGGCAGGCAGGTGCTGCACTGGCATTTATTTTGCTTGCTGTGTGCAAGGCCTGCCTGGGAGCTGAGTGCCCAGTGCTGAAGGGGAGCATTTCCACCATGCAGGCCCAGTGGCGCCTGCCGCCGCCACTGCTGCCTCCCAAGGTAAGGTGCTGGCCTAACGTTCACCTTTGGCCAGTCTCCATTGGGCCACTAAGGCTGGGGGTATCCTCTTCCCAGGCCCTTGTGGGGCACCTCTCCTTGGGGTGTGTGTGCAGCTCAGATCAGGAGCGGCAGCAGTGGCTGCCCAGAGGACTCCCAAGGAGGGGGGATAGGAGAGGAGGCTGAGGAAACCCTCCACAAAGGTGTTCAAAAAAGGGCGAGAAGCTGCCTGTACATAACTGAAAGTACATGCTTCTCTGCACTGAATTATCATAAAACCTTTCATTCCTTTTGTTACCAATGAAATCCCCAGCTCCTCACGGGACACTGTGGAACGACACTTTTGTTTGATCTAGTCTTGTTGTATGGCATTACTTTAAACCTTGATTCAAATGAATCAAATTATTCTTTAATGCTATCTCTGTACTTTGGAGAGGGGCTGGGTTGGAAATAACTGTTATTGTTGTTTTCTTAATTTTGTTATACTTGAAAATCAATAGTTTTTTAAGAGTAAAATTTAAAAAATGTTGCCTTGTACACATGTGCCACCAGACTAGCTATGCTAGAGGTGAGAATCATTCAGCTACTTGGTTTCTGCAGTGGCAGCAGACAGAGAGAGTTTAAAAGACCAAGCGGCAACTGAGATGAGGGCTGCACACCTTAGAGAAGCCTTTCTCAAGCTGTGGGTCCCCAAATGTTGTTGAACTACAACTCCCATCACCCCTAGCTAGCAAGTCCAGAGCTCAGGGATGATGGGAGTTGTAGTCCAACAACATCTGGGGACCCACATGTTGAGAACCACTGCCTTAGAGAAAGAGATAAGTTGTTACACAGAAGCTGAGGTGGATCTGAGGGTGGGGCCAGAGAACCACATAGCTGAGGGGGACAGTGGGTGTGACACCCTATTTTTCAATCAGAGAAAGAGTGGGCCACACTGTCCTAATGGTATTATAGGAAGCATGATATTATTATCTATTAATTACATTTTTATCCCAACTTTCCTCCAAGAAGCTCAAGGTGGCATACAATCTTCTCCCTGCTCTCCATTTTATCCTAATCCCTGTGAGGTAGGTTAGTCTGAGACTGTGACTGGCCCCAAGGTTACTCATGGATGAATGGGGATTTGAATCCAGGCCTCCCATATGCTAGTCCAACACTCTGGCAGTCTGACTAATAGCTTTTATTAATAGCCGCACAACAGGCAGAAATTCATCTGGCATGGCTTCTCTTTGCACTGGGATGTGCTGAGGGGAAATGCTTTAATCAGATGAACCCCCCACATGATTGGAGACAATGCACCATTATGATTGCTGGATGTTGGGGGCAGACAGTGGTGAATAGCAACTGCATCTTGTGACATTCCCAGAAGCATCCTGGCTGGATCCTGCTGGACCAGATGGGTCCTTGGTCTGATGTAGCCCAGCAATTCTTCTAATTTATATTATATCATTTATTAAACTTACATCTCACACTTTCCTCCAAAGGACCGTAAGATGGAAAACATGTGAATACTAGAACAATACAATTAAAATGGCTAGAAAGCAGCTAGTAACAATCTTCTAAAAACAGTTAAAAACTCCTAAAAGCAACCTCCTACTCTCAAACTAATAATTTCAGGAATGCTAGGGACAGAACTTTCAACCATCAAATGCCTGGGTAAATGGGAATAATATTAAATTTCTCCTAAAAGATAATAGTGAGTCATTTTTCTGTGACATTACTCACTGGTATGGAATATTTTCACCTCTCCTCTTTTTCTGCTTCCTATGGCAGCCATTTTGTGCTGGTACCCATAGCCCCTTTACAGGAATCAAACAGCCATGTGGGGACGATGAAGCAATTATTTTTGTTCAAATTTTAATGCAAAACTACCTAATTCACACTTTCCAAATAGATAAGGGAACTGAAACACAACTGCCTTTTGAAATGCAAATTTCTCTGAATAGCGAATGCATATGTTAGTGAAAATGATGTACAAAACTGCATTGTGTTAGGGAAAGCTACATGAATTTCCAGACTTAATAAAAGAGAAAAACCTGTCCATGTCTAATAGTTTCCCAATAGATCTGCACATCAGATGATCTTGAAATGATATTCAGCAAAAATATGAACATTCACAGGCTATGTGGTGAATATTTGACAATGGAATAATTTGCAAGATGTTGTTGTTGTTGTTGTTGTTGTTATTATTATTATTAATTTTCCCATAATACAGTAAAATTGCAACTACAGAAGATACAAATCAAATAAGTAAAATATGAAGTCCTCTCGTAAAAGTAATTCTTGGCCCTTAGCATCCGCAGAGCACAATAGCTCCTCCCAGCTCTCACCTGGGATCTTTCCTTTCTCCTCCCAGCCTCTCATCCTGGGATACCAAATTTTCCCTTTCTCTCACCCAGGGTCCTCAGTCAACCCTCTATCTCCCCTATGAGTTTACAATCTCTGGACCATAATAAAGGCCCAGACATAGGATTGCAAAGAAATAAGAGAAAGGAGAAAAACAAAGAATTGATCCACTTTGTCAGTTTTTGACGAAAGCTGAAGTCCAGTTTCACAGTTCTCCTGTTTTGCAAACAGCTTCTGCTTTTTGCTTTTGGGTCACCAAGGACTGAGAAAGGAGAAGGGGGGGAAGGGAGGGACAGAGCTCATGCTGAAGTCACTGTCAGACTCCTGAAGATGCCCAGATGCTCCTGCATGTCACTATCGATCGCCCTGTCCCCGACAGTTTGCTCCAGTGGAATCTCAGTCCCACACCACTAATTGGGGGAGACAGGCCTGTTTTTTCATTGCCAGTTCAGT